TGCCTCCATAAGTTCTCTCTTTCGACTATCAGCACTCTCGCGCGTGGAAGGAGCTCTACGAGGTTCCCGGCGGCGCCAGTTCCGGGGCGCTGGAGAGCCAGTTGGCAAGACAAATCTCGACGGACCTTTTGCTGACTTTGGTCGGATGAAGATTTTGTTATCGAAATTCAACAATTCGTTTGAGCTCTAGTATTTTGTCCCGTGATATTCGATCTTATTCCCGCTCGCCGTCTTGATCTCAGCTCGATCGGGTACCTTTTACTGACAAAAAGCACTGCGGTGGGATCGGCCGTTTCGGGTCATCTTCACACGCGGTGACGGTTTTCCCAAGATAACTCGAGCTATAGAAGAGCTACAGAGCTGATACTTACAGAAACCGATTCAGAATCATCAGCCGCGTTTGTCTGTTGAATCCAGAGGTCTGAACTCGGTCTGCTGCTCGAGCTAGGTCCGCGAAATTATTCGTATTGTTCGAGTCATCTTGAGAGGTGCTGTCGGTTTTCTGTACTTAACTCGGGCTGTAGGGGGGCTACAGGGCTGGTAATCACAGAAACCGATCCGTATACATCAGGCGCGTCTGCCCGTCGCATGCAGAGGTCTGAACTTGGTCTGCCACTCGAGCTAGGTCCGCAAAGCTATTCGTATCGCTCGAGTCATTTCGACAGACACTGTCGGATTTCTGTACTTTACTCGAGCTCTAGGGGAGCTGCAGAGCTCATACGCACAGAAACCGATGCAGACTGATCAGACGCGGTCCGTTGCATCCAGAGGCCTGAACTGGGTCTGCTACTCGAGCTAGGTCTGCGAAACTATTCGTATCGTTCGAGTCATCTTGAGAGGTGCTGTCGGTTTTCGCACGTAACTCGGGCTGTAGGAGAGCTACAGAGCTGGTGCGCACAGAAACCGATCCAGAAGCATCAGAAGCGTTCGTCTGTTGCATCGAGAGGTCTGAACTCGGTCTGCTATCCGAGTAAGGTTCACAAAATTATTCGTTTTTTTTTTTTTTTTTTTTTTTTTTTTTTTTTTTTTTTTTTTTTTTTTTTTTTTTTTTTTTTTTTTTTTTTCTATTATTATTATTTTCCTCCCCCTCTCTCTCTCTCTTTCTCTCTCTCTCTCTCTCCAAATAATGGTGAATTTATTCACTGAACTCGAGCGGCCGAAGAATCGGAAGGGAATCGTGAGGCGTGAATCATCTAGTCGCTTGGTTTGAGTCTGTTGTGAACGCAAACGCCAAAAACGGCTTCGTACTCTGCTACTTCCTCCCAGCACAGCAATGGGATCTCACTAGACGCCTGAGATCAATCTGCTATCAGCTCGGGCTTAAAAACTATTCGTTCTCTGCTATTTTTTCGAACGTAATATATAGTCAGGAAGCTCTACGAGTCCCCCGGCGGTAAGAAAGGTTGACGGCTTACCGCCGGCGCCCAGTGTGAACTTTGTCAGTTGGGCGAACTTTCTGAGAGATTTGAACATTCGTTCCGAGAACCGGTATTTTTCGCACCTGTAGTGGGTTTTTCCGCGTCCGCGAGTAAAACTCTCAGGTCCGTAGCTGCAGTACTACTATCAAAACACTTCAATGAACCGTCTTTGGATAAAAACCAAAACCCTATTTTTGGAAGTTGTGAGCTCACGTGTTAGGAAGATCCCCCCACGTGTTACGATCAGCGCCGTCCGAGGAAAGAGCTCTACGAGGCTCCCGGGTTGACGGTTTACCGCCGGTTCCCAGTCGATGAGCTAGAGGAATTCCGGCGCGGGGTGGAGCTAGTACCTCGTAGAGCTCGGCATCAATGAGCTAGAGCAATTCCAGAGAGAATGTGATAATTTTCGGTCGGTTGTGCTAATTTTTGAAAGATATTTGACAAATCATTTTGAGAACCGGTATGTTGCTCACGTGTAGTGGGTTATGCCGCGTCTGCCAGTTAAATTCTCAGGTCTGTAGCTGCAATATTACTATCAAAAGACTTGCTGAACCAACTGCGTTCCGAGTCATCTTGACACGCGTTCACGGTTTTTTGTACTTAACTGGAGATTTCGGAGAGCTACAGAGCTGATGCTTACAGAAACCCAGTAATCATCAGGCGCGTTCGTCTGTTGCATCCAGAGGCCTCAACTCGGTCTCCTACTCGAACTAGGTCTGTCTAACTATTCGTGTTATTCGAGTCATCTTGACCAGTGGTGTCGGTTTTCTGTACTGAACTCAAGATTCAGAGGGCTACAGAGCTCGTGCGCACATAAACCGATTCAGAATCGCGAGGCGCGTACGTCTGTTGCATCGAGAGGCCTGAACTCGTTCTGCTGTTCGAGCTAGGTCCACAACACTATTCGTACTTCTGAAGTTGGAGAGCCTGTGGTAACCTTGCATCGGTTTCCTTCACTTCATGCCAAATTTCAAAATTTGTTTTCAGAAGCGCACTTGCTGGTAATTCTTATGGCTCGAGGGAGAGTATAACCATCAGAACACTTGGAGGAACCGATTTTTTATCGACACCAAAAAATGTGTTTTTTTTCTTAGTCGTCTAATAAGCTTTTTCGGTGAGCAGGCCGGGGGGGAGGGAGGGAGGGGAGTGGGTAATTCTCAGCTCTGCAGGTGCAGTACTACTATTAAAACACTTGGGGAAACCGACTTTGGATGAAACCCGAAAAATCGTAATTTTTCGAATTTTACGGCTAAGGAAAGAGCTCTACGAGATGCCTGGCGGTAACCTGGTTGACGGTTTACCGCCGGTTCCCAGTGTTGAGTGCAGGGCTGTGCCGTTGAAGCACGCGTATCGACGATATCAGTATCAGGTTCAATCGCGGATCTTATTTGCAGGGGAACTGAGCACGCTCGATGCCGAGGCTGTTTGTGCAGTTCATGCTTTTGAAGGTATGTGTTTGTTTTGTATGTGGTGTCGCCAGCGGGCTAACATAACATGGGGTGTGTGGAGGCCTGAGATGCTCCAGAAGGTGCATTCGCATTTTGCCAGTGGACACTTCCCGTCGGCTGTTCAGATGATTCGGTGGAAGAGCTGGACGATGATGCAGTGTTCGTAATTGTATTCTTTCAGATCGGGCAGGGAGTACAGAGGCAGCGGACGCGATCACCCCGAGACCAACTGAGGTTGGCGAGCTATCGCAGAAAAAGAGTTCGATTTGAGTAGCCATCATCGCAAACTCTGGTTCAGGACATAAGAGTTGCACAGGGCGGCGATCTTTCAACCAATAGATAGGCCGACCTTTCCCAGAATATGGCCCAACATATCAGCATACAACGCATGGACATCAATAGACAGAATCTGACAGGCTTTGGAGGCAGAGTATCGGGGAGTCAGACGGGGGCTTCTGTGCACATTCCCGTGCCTTCCGTCTTCCCGCCTGCTGCTTGTCATGTGTCTCAAGATTCATCACAGAGATCCCTGACAGCCCAGTCTCAAGATAACCGTGCACATGTTGACTCGCGCCGTGGGCTTCTTATGTACAATGTTGCGTGGACGACATGCAGAGATACTATTACTGAATGTTTTCGTTTGCGCGCGAATCGGACACAGGCTTCATCTGGCAAAAGAATACGCGGTGGACAAGAGAGTGTCGGCCAGAGGAGCTGGCAGCATCCGTATATATTGTCATATGGCACTACGTGGTGGCAAGGGGTGGTTCCATCATACCGTGCATTCCTTGAGAGGTGGCAAAATATACTATGTACTTACAACAAAACAATGATCTTCGACTATTTTGTTCAGAACTGGACAGGGACCGCAGCCCAAAATGCACCGCCCGAGGAGACTGGACATGGGGGCCGTGCGCAGACAGAAAAAGAAGCAATGCAGATGGCCATGCGATTGGCTACGATAAATGAAAGACAAACTGTTTGGGACATCATTAGCCCTGGGTTTGCAGTCGAAATGAAAGGAGATAGCTTGCTAGTTCACTCGTGACTGACGTGACGATGGCGGTGTCACAACAAACAATACCAACGTCGTCTTGATCGTTGCATTGATGTAATGGAACGGACCGCAAATGAGTTGGGATTAGAAGTTCGGGATTGGGGAAAGATCTGTATAAGCATGAGTATAGGGAGGACAACACACGGGCCGATGAGCTTGCGCACTTGGCCCGCGAGGGCCACTGTTTTTGCAATCCATATGAATACAGATTCAACTTTGAAAGTTATCTCCATCCTATCGCCTGTCGTGCTGCCTTCGACGGGGGGGTATGCAGCAAGGTTACGGGGTGCGGATTCTGGCTTCAAATCCGATTGCTAAGAGCTGAATCAAGAGTATGATTGCAATAAGTGTACCTCCTATTCGCCTCTTTCCCTCCTCTCCTTATTCTGTGCCCTCTAATATTCCCTTCGTTTGGAGGGGCGTGTGCGAAGCCGCCTGGTGCCTTGAGGAAGGTGCTACGATAACCGACGCCGAGCTCAGTGCTGCTGAGGCGCTTTCAAGCGCTGTTGTGCATTTGGCACGACAGATGCTCACCGCCAGCTGACCCTGCTGGACAAACGGTGCGAAAACCAAAAAACCAGGTTGACGGTTCACCGCCGGCGCCAGTTGGTCGACCCGGCTAGAACTGACAATGTGGTGACTTTTAGTCGGGTTTTCTAAGATTTGACAGAAATTTGACCTGTCATTTTAAGAAACCATTTTTTTCGCCTGTGAAAGACTATAAGAGCCTCTGCGTCTCAATACCTCGTAGAGCTCTTCGCTATCGATGAGCAGAGGAATTCCAGCGCGGGATGGAGCTAGTTGGTCGACCCGACCAGAAAAGAAGATGTGACGAGTTTGGGTTGGGTTTGCTAAGATCTGAACGATATGTAACAATTCATTTTGAGAAACCTTTTTTTGCACCTGTGAAAGACTATAAGGGTCATTGCGTCTTAGCATGAGATCTGTAGGCGCTCTTTTACTATGAAAATACTTGGAGCAACCAACTTCAAGTCGACATGAAAAATGCAAAGTTGAAGATTTCACGAAAATCTCCTGCGAAGTTCTCTGCTTTGATTCTTAGCACTCTTACGCGCGCAAGCAGCTCTACGAGGTTCCCGGCGGTGACCAGGTTGATGGTTCATCGCCAGCGCCCTATGAGCTCCGCAGGCGCACTTGTATTATCAAAACACTTGCAGGAACCAACTTAATGTCGACATGAAAATTGCAAAAATTTAAGATTTTACGAAAATATCCTGCGACGTTCTCTGCTCTCATTCTTAGCACCCTTACGCGCGCAAGCAGCTCAGCGAGGTTCCTGGCGGTGACCAGGTTGGGCAGAGTTTACCTCCTGCTCGGCCAGGCCTCACCGCTGGGGTCCCCCTCGTCTCGAGCTGCATTGTGCAGTAAGGAGTCTTTGGTTCCTCATACTGTACACGGTGCTCTCACTATGAGGGGCGACGGCGGCGCCGCGTTGGCTGCATCTCTTGTGGAGGCAGCGGTCCGCGCTGCTGTTCAGGCAGGTGCCCCGCGCAGGACTGTCGCAGCCGCCGCGGCTGCCGTGGCCTCGGTCATGGCGGCGACGCGGTGTGGCGTTGGTCCGGCGCAGGGCGCCCCTGATCCCGCTGCCGCCGGTTCGGCCGGATCCCGGCGGCAGCGGAGGAGGCTGAAGAAGAAAACTATGATGTGCAGGTCGGGGCAGGATGCTGTCCTTGGGGGGCCTGTCGGGCAGACCCTAAAGGCTTATCAGGATGTTGATCATGAGATATCTTGTTATCACAGTTCCAGTGTTGATCATGGCGCCTCTGATTTTCATGTTGGGAGCTCTTCATCTAGGCGAGTCCAGTTTGATGATCGGCCTTCATTGGTTTCTTATGAGATGCCCCTTCAAGCGAGGCTGCGTCCCATATCGAGGAAGCCGAAGAAGAAAACTATGAGTTGCAGGTCGGGGCATGATGATGTCCTTGGGGAGCCTGTTGGGCAGACCCTAAAGACTCAGCGTGTTGATCATGAGGTAGCGCACGTGGGTTCGCACGTTCCTGTTCCTGCTCAGACGGCAGCTGATGTGAAGATGTCGGAGTTGGAGAAGGATAACGATGATAACATGTCTGTTGTTTTTGCTCCTGTTAAGTCGGCAGCTGATGTTAAGATGTCGGAGGTGGAGAAGGAGAACGAGGATGTGGAGATTCGTGGAAGATCGGAAGTGGTTTCTGTTTCTGTTGATCCAGGTGTTCTGAAAGAGGAGTTGCATGATGAGGAGTTGCAGGGTGAGGAGTTGCAGAATGAGGAGTTGCGGAATGAGCAGTTGCATTGTTCTCATTATAAAGATTCTATGACTTCACACCCTGGGGGTTCAACGACTGGGAGTTTATCTAATGCAGTTGTGAGTTCAGCAGTGACGGAGGACGAGTGTCAAGCTGCCAGGGACTGGGCCCCTGCCGGTGTCGATGTCAGTGCTCTTTGGCGTGAGCTACACCGACTCCCGAGACAGGAGTTTCAGCGTAGGACTGAGGCTCTTCATGCATACAGGCTGCAATTGGGAATTGAAAGTTCCGAGGAGGATGATTCGCAACAAGGGGGTCCTCAGAGTTCTACTTCCAGGAGTGCATTGACGCGGAGCGGCAAGAAGCATCGGAAACGGCACAGATGATGCACATGTGATTGATCCTGCACGCTTGGTTTGTCATTGCGTTGCCTTTCTTCATGCGTGTGTGTTGTCGTGCATGCGCGTGTGTTGAATAAGAGCTTCGCTTGATCCCTCAAAGTGGGTCATTCGTTGCTTCCTTGATTTGAGTGCTCATTGACCTTTGAACGTGACTTTCCGTTATTTGTCACGTGGTGCCTCAAAGTAGGCCTTTGATCTTATCTGCATTCTGACCTTTAATCTCTTGTGCATTCTCAGTGGTGTTGAGACGGTATTCGCTGTATAAACCAGTGGTTACTGTATGGTCTCTCACTGCTTCTCGTGTGGTCGCTGTGTAAACCAGTGGTTACTGCGTTTCACTGTTTTAGTGTTATATTCTTGTGTATGGGCAGTCTTGTGCATATCTGTACAGCCTCGCTGTTTGATGCACCTCTGCTTTAATCTTTGCAGCTTCGCTGTCTTCCTGTACAGCTTCGCTGTTTAGGTTCTTTGTGTTTAGGCCTGCTCCCATGGGAGCTCGAACCGGCCTTCGCAAAAGACGCAAAAGACCAGGTTGATGGTTCGTCGCCAGCGCCCTATGAGCTCCGCAGGCGCACTTGTACTATCAAAACACTTGCAGGAACCAACTTAATGTCGACATGAAAAATGCAAAAATTGAAGATTTTACGAAAATCTTCTGCGAAGTTCTCTGCTTCGATTCTGAGCGACCTGGCCCGTTGGGGGCCTCCTCGAGCCGCATTGTGCGGACAGGTTTTTGTGCATACGCATGTATCGTACTCAACTGTCCATCTTGTTATTGCTTGTGATTTGCCTTCTTCTTGTTGAGCGAGTCCACGTTTTATATATGGAGTTTATGTCATCTGAATTGTCAGGCGCGGATTTTGTTGCTTCAGATTTGACAGATACGGCGCTGTTTACTTCCGGGTTTCTCGCTTGTTTGTCTGCTGTTTGTCTACGGTCGAAGTGTGTGTTAGTGATCTATATTTCCGTGTTCGCCCTTCGTACGGAGGTGAGTCTTGCCTGCATGAGCGAGACCAGCTGTATGGGCATGGTGTCAAAGTTTCTCAATCGAAGTTGCGCCGCCTGAGGGCGAAACGTACCAGATATCGTTTGTGGTCCACGGCTTGGGGGCCAGATTCGTCGTGCCTTGTTCGCGCGGGCATTTGCGCGCCCAGATATTATCGGAATTTTTGTTCGGACGATTCTGAGGAAGAGGAATGGGTTGAGGACACTTGTGGAACACTGACTGATATGGATGCTGTTGAATTGGCTGGCAACTCTTTGTGTTCGCAGTGTTCCGATTGTGGGACTCAGACAGATCCCTGTGTTCACATTGAGTGTGGGATTCAGACTGATTTTTGTGTTCTTTGTTGGTGAGGAGGAGAAGGAGGAGTGTCATCGAGTGCACGTTGATCGGGGTGATGCTTCTCTCAGAATGAAGAGATATTGTTTCAAACGAGCGGAGGCTATCGAGAGTGCAAAGTTGCACACTTCAGAATTGCATGCGACCAACGGGAGTGCGGTGGAGAGTACCGCAGTTTTGAATACAGTTGATGCAGTCGGGAGTTCCAGTGCAGTCGGGAGTTCAACACTTGGGAGTGCAGTAGGAAGTTCCACAGTTCGGAGTTCCGCTGATGCAGTTGAGGATGCAGTTGGGAGTTCAACAGCTGGGAGTTCTGCAGTTGGGAGTTCAGCTGATGCAGTAGGGAGTTCCATGAATGGGAGTTCTGCAGATCGACCGAGTGAGACACGCTCTGAGTGCCAAGCTGCCAGGGACTGGGCCCTTGCCGGTGTCGATGTAAGGGCTCTTTGGCTTGAGCTACACCGACTCCCGACACAGGAGTTTCAGCGTAGGACTGAGGCTCTTAATGCATACAGGCTGCAATTGGGAATTGAAAGTTCCGAGGAGGATGATTCGCAACAAGGGGGTCCTCAGAGTTCTACTTCCAGGAGTGCATTGACGCGGAGCGGCAAGAAGCATCGGAAACGGCACAGATGATGCACATGTGATTGATCCTGCACGCTTGATTTGCCATTGCGTTGCCTTTCTTCATGCCTGTGTGTGTTGTCGTGCATGCGCGTGTGTTGAATATGAGCTTCGCCTGATTTTCAATTTGTTCGGCTAAGAGCCCGCATTCGCTCGAAGTAGTGGTGGGTGTCTTGGCTCACTCCGTATGTTGCCTGTTCATAATTCACTTTGTCTGTTTGTGCGTGTTCATAATTCAGTTCGCATTTCTTATCTGCATTCTGACCTTTAATCTCTTGTGCATTCTCAGTGGTGTTGAGACGGTCATCGCTGTATAAACCAGTGGTTACTGTATGGTCCCTCACTGCTTCTCGTGTGGTCGCTGTATAATCCAGTGGTTACTGCGTCTCACTGTTTTGGTGTTATATTCTCGTGTATGGGCAGTCTTGTCATACCTGTACAGCCTCGCTGTTTGATGCACCTCTGCTTTAATCTTTGCAGCTTCGCTGTCTTCCTGTACAGCTTCGCTGTTTAGGTTCTTTGTGTTTAGGCCTGCTCCCATGGGAGCTCGAACCGGCCTTCGCAAATGACGCAAAAAGACCAGGATGACGGTTCACCGCCGGCGCCAGTTTCGTAATTCCAGAGCTCTACGAGGGTCCCAGCTTGTGTGTGGTCCAATGGATAAGAAGGCACTGGAGGTGCACGAACATGGGCTATAATATCACCTTGGAGGCGGCACAAAACACTCTTGATGCTATAACGGACACCTGTTTGAGAACTGCGTGTGCGGGGGCTGACCCTATCAAACATCTTTATAGGGAGGGTAACAGTTATGCTCATGAACTCACGTGGGCTTGCAGAGCTTGCCCACACACATCGAAGAGAAACGAGTATCTTGCCCCTTTATATACTTCGAAAGTTTTAGGATTGAGGGGTTACTTCGACGGAGGCACCTCGGATATTGGGGCTGGGGGAGGCTGGTGGCTGCAGGCTTTTGTAGAACATAAAAATGCTATACAGTGTCACGTGATTGCCGAAGAGGCGTTTGGCCTCGATAGGGAGTCAACCGTGACGGTATGTGAGTTAACGGCCGCCTCGAAGCTAATTCACGCAATCTCGCAGATTG